ACCTCACCATGGACTTCAAGGAGTTCCCAAGGGACAAGCACAGATACGACAGCATCTTAGTGTTTATGGACTGACTTGGAAAGAGCTCAGTGACCATACCTTGCTACAAAACCACAACTGCCCGGCAAATAGCACAATTATTCATCGAATGGATATACCAATTTGGACACACTCCGGAGTCGATTGTAAGCAACCGCGGACCCCAATTCGTATCATCTTTTGGCAGGAGTTCTGTCAAATTATCGGCATTAAGGTTAAGCTGTCGACTGCCTATCATAAGCAGACTGATGGACAGACGGAAATCATGAACAGATACATCGATCAGAGACTGAGGCCTTTCGTATCTCATTACCAGGATAACTGGAGCAAACTCATCCCCTAATGGACCGCGTGTAAATGACACTCCCCCACGCATCCATATGACCCCCAACTGACTCAAGTACGGAACCGATCTGCGTACGAGTTGGGATTGGAACACTCTGAAAAGCACCAACCCCCGGGAGACTCTAAACCGAGAGGAAGCCAAGGCAGTTGCAGACTGAATGCATACCGCATGGGTCCACGCAAAGGAAAACATGGCAAAGGCACAAGAGGAAATGTCTAAGCACGCGAATCGACGCTGAAGGGCCATCGACTGGGACATAGGAGATAGAGTGTACCTATTGACCAAAATTTGAAGAACTCTCGCCCTAGCTGCAAGTTGGGCCAACAATGGGTTGGACCATATACGGTGTTGGAACAGATTGGGCACGCGTTTCGATTGCAACTACATGATGTGTTCTCACCAGACGTCCTCATGAAGGATCCGAACAACCCCCTACCTGGTCAGGATCCGCCTGAGCCTAGCAGCGAAGTGATAGATGGAGTAGAGGAATGGAAAGTGAAAAGATCCTCGCTGTGAGGCTCCGACAGAAGCAACTACAATACAGGGTTAGTTGGGTAGGATACGATCTGGACCTGGAGTGGTACCCAGCGTCGAACTTCATGAACTCTCACCATAAACTCAGAGAGTTTTACGTGGAACACCCAAAACTACCAGGACCACCGTGTCATACTGACATTCGTTGCACTCAGTTTGCTATCAAACTCAAGAGCAAACTTAGAAATCTCCTCCTCAAACCTACAAGTCACTATATATATTTTGGCTTATCACACCAACAACAAGAGCAATACTACTCAACGATTGCTACAACCCTCTATGATTCATTACATGACATCACTCCTTAGTTACTGGGCTCGTACTACACATGACATATCTCTATCAACTAGAGGCCTAGGAACATGAACGATAGCTCTAGAAGCTTCTACAACCCTCTATGATTCATTACACATCATCGCTCCTTAGTTACCCACAAGATTGGTTAAGTTATGACATAATTTGTCTATAGGTACTCTGACCTTGGACCTCCTTTTCACTTCCTATAGGCTAGGAACCCAAGAGATGGTTCTATGGGATTCTCTTACGTTCACTACATGATTAGCAAGCTAGTTGTGGGTCGCACTTGATTTCTAATACATTTACCAAGCCTGGTTAGTCATGGAAAGTCATGGAAAATGAGAGAACTACACTCCTTTGGCATAAATAGGATTGCCCTTTCCTTAAGAAAGGGCAAGCAGGCAATACAGTAAATCGACTATCACATACTTCCACGTCTTTTACAAGATTCCAAGCATTAATCTTGTTATTCTTTGTTTCTGAAAAGTCAGTGAGGTGCTAACCTCTGACTTACCCCTGAGTTCTCAGACTCAACATTTGTTACAACTTGTCTATACCACTTCACTACATCATACACCTGATTGCTGCGTTGTGGAATAGTCTAAGCTACAACCCTTTGGCTCTGTTTCCTAAGACAGTGTGTTGTCTTAGTAAAATCATCCCTTCCTTGGGTGGCTAGATTCTCACATCTGGTGCACCCACCATTACACACTGCGAGACTTACCCGGATGGGTTACGGCATGGGAGAGGGGAGAGCCCAGCTACAATCACAGAAGAGACGACAAAGCAGGAAAGACAGAGTCGTTGCTACCTACGACTCTAAACTAATTACCCTGGGGAAGGGTGGCTCATGCAACCCTTGCATGAGCCACCCTTCCAAAACGTCTCACCGGCGTCGCAACAGACGGCTACCACCATGAGAGACGAAGGGTCGAAGCGACCCCACGCGAAGAGCCAGGCCCAAGTCCCCTCTGACACAGGGTTCCCCCCCCCTTACTCCCCATACCCGTCCTAGTAGTTCGTCGATACGTGGGATGGGGTAGGGATCATTCTGGGTAAGACCATTTAACTTCCGGTAATCGATGCAAAATCTTAATTTGCCATCCGCTTTCTTTATTTATTGTTTTACTGGGTATATGGAGTTTTTGCCCTAAACTTATTTATGAGATGAAAGAATTGATGTAATGCGACAAGTCATGTAGCAACGGCCTCTTGGTGTCTGTTACGCATGGGCAAAGACGGGCCCGTGCGTAACAGACACCAAGAGGCCAGAAATAGCCCGCAGATCACTTCTGGAAGTGCTCACAATCACTGTGAATCAAATGAAAGTGTTCCAAAATCGTTTTAGGTTTAATTATCGTATCATTGTCTTCGAGGTTGTCGCAACTTCCGCGCGCTTGTCCATCAAACAAGGGACCTTACAGCTACCCCAGCGTTAATTGCGGGTACTGCCGAGACGCGGAGTCGCTTACAACAGTAGGCGGCCACTCATTCGACAATAGCCGTCTGACATTCGGCATTTCGACCTTTCGACGGACGCGTGCAGACACCTGGGGAAACACTTTTCAACACCCGCCTCGGATACCGAATACCGACATTATCGAAGCTGGCTTCCCCCACAATGGGACTGCAGGACCCATGCATCTCGGCTCTTTTCGACGACGTGCGCGCCTGCGCCGGACCTGGCTGCGGCTGGCCATCATCATAGCTGTTGTGGCACTGTACGTGGACTACGTGAGATTGGTTGTTGTCAACTACCCACTTTCGCGGGTATCACCCTCGACAGCGTCTATGGATGGCTCTGGGTTGAAGAAGGAGCGCATTTTCATTGCGAGTATGCATTGGAATAACGAGCGCATCATACGATCGCACTGGAGCTCCGCGGTGTTGGATCTGGTGAAGCATTTCGGTGCGGAGAATGTTTATATATCTGTTGCGGAGAGTGGTAGTTGGGATAATACGAAGGGCGCCCTGAGAGATCTGGACGCGGAGCTAGAGAAACTGGGCGTGGAGAGGAACATCGAGTTGAAGGACATTACGCACAAGGATGAGATTGAGCGTACACCGGGGCCCAACGAAGCAGGGTGGATACAGACGAGCAGAGGGAAGAAGGAGTTGCGGCGGATACCATACTTGGCTGAGATACGGAATAATGTGATGGCAAAGCTGCAAGATCTTGCTGGGGGGAAAGGTGGGCGAGAGCCCAGAGTGTTTGACAAGGTTATATGGTTGAATGATGTAGTCTTCACGGTATTTATCCCCTCTTACACTTTGATGTCAACTTCCTCCGTATAAAGTGCTAAGGCCTGGGATGAATAGACCGAAGACGTTACGACTTTGATTGCGACCCGAGACGGCGACTACGCAGCAGCTTGCTCGATAGACTTCTCCAAACCACCCCAATTCTATGACACCTTCGCCCTTCGCGACGTCTCCGGAGGAGAGGCAGCTACCCAGACCTGGCCCTTCTTTCTCGATTCGGCATCACGCAAGGCCATGATCACGAATACTCCAGTACCTGTGAAATCGTGCTGGAATGGCATCGTAGTCTTCCAGGTAGAACCATTTTACGGCAACAAAGCATTGAGTTTCCGGGGCATACCAGATAGCCTCGCCCTTCGCCACCTGGAAGGATCCGAATGTTGCCTCATACACGCGGATAACCGGCTCACTCCGCTACATGGCGTCTGGCTCAATCCGAACGTGAGGGTCTCATACAATCCCGAATCCGACAAGATCGTACGCGCGGAAACAGGGCTTTGGCCAACAAAGAAGGAGAAGTTTGTGGGAATATGGATGAATAGATTTGCTCGATTGGTGGGGATTATACCGCGGTACATACAAGAATATAAGGTGGGCAAGAGGATGAAGTTATGGGGACACGAGACACGGGACGAGGCGCACGGGGAAATCCCGGTAGCGTGGTCGCACTGCTTGATAAACGAGATGCAGGTTTTGGTGCAGAATGGATGGAAGCACTTGTAAAGTATGGAATGCTGGGCTATGAGGCAGATGGTATTGTCTCGGATTCTGGTGCACAATGGGTTGAGGCACCTGTAGATGTATTTGGGGATATGAGTTGCCGGAATATGCAAACGATATTTTCCTCGGATTCTTGTGCACAACGGATTAAAGCACTTGTACGTATATTATGGAGCATGAAATGGACATTAAATCCTCGGCCATTACTACAATTAAACAATATTAAAAATTGTCCAAGACTCTTGCTTGAAGAATTTTTTTATCTGGTGGATATTTAATATTTTGTATAAGTTAACGTTAAGGGGAATAAATAATAAATGAGCAAAATCTATAACTAAAGTCTCCGTTCACGAAAATGCCTCAAACAGGAGAACAACCCCCTTGATCACCGACAATATGCCCCTCAGTCAAAATCTAGTGCTACTGCCGTACATATATTGCATGATGCCGGTATATCAAGCTGTATAAAGTGCCATTGGCCTTGAAAATATTATTTTCCATGGCGGCCAAAGCCACGGCAACTTCGTCGGTCGTACGATATCAGACCGGACCGACGGTAGGTAAAGTCCGGGAGTTCAGGGTACTATGGCAACCCCCCAAGAGCGTAGGGCCTTTTTGTTGAAAGCATCACCACCAAAACCCCCTTTTCTAGACCACATGTAGAGTATATATACCACAGAATATTTGCAATTGGTGACGTTATTCTTCAGTACTATTAAAATCCAAGCTCCAATCTCAAAATCACTCATAAACATAACAAACACTCTCCCAAAAAGTCTTGGCGTGTTTGCACGTGCAGCAATTTTAAGTGGAGCCATAAATAAGTGGAGCTGTTTTAACGAGAGCAATTTTATCCGAACGAACCCGTTTTCCACCTCCTTCCTCTCCTTTCAACAACAACAAACCTTACCATCTCCTCCATCCTCAACATCCAACACTCCACTCTCCATCAAATCCCATCAGCAGTCATCATGAACTCTATTGCCCAGCTCGCCACCCGCTCCGCACGCCTCAATGGCGGGCAAGCTAGCTCAATCGCTCGCCGAGCTTTCACAAATGGTACGTAAAAAAAAAGACAACTCTAGCACACCTAAAAAAAGACCTCAATTCAATCCCTCGGCAACACAACAACCATTGATAGCTAACTCTCGACATCAACAGGCCCAGCCACCTCCGTCTCCCGCTTCCAGCCTGCTGCCCGCAACAACGGTCTCCTCATGAGCCGCGCCATGCTCCGCAACACCGCCTCCAACGTCACCCGCGGCCAATCGCGCGGTATCGTCACCGAGACCATCACCATCGGAGCTGCCGTCCTTAGCGCCGGAAAGTTCATCGGAGCTGGAGCTGCTGCTGCCGGTCTCATCGGTGCCGGAACTGGTATCGGAACGGTGTTCGGTGCCCTGATCTCCGGTGTCGCGAGGAACCCAGCTCTCCGTGGTCAGCTTTTCTCCTACGCCATTCTCGGTTTCGCCTTCGCTGAGGCCACCGGACTGTTCGCCCTGATGGTTTCCTTCTTGATCCTCTTCGCAATGTAAACAGCTTTATTACAATTACATGGTGGATTGTGGGGGGTTTTGTGGAGATAGACGCGGAGGGTGATGGAATGGAGAGGAGAGGAGAAATGCCATCGGATCGGATCCTAATAGGATAGGTTGTGTAGTAAAATTCTCTTCTCCATGTACAGTACGTAGAATTAAGGAAGCATTACGCTCACTTCTATAATATTATACGTGATCTTCCTTCTACAATTTGAATTCTTGACAGCTGCTCCGTTCTGCCGGGTAGATGCCGAAAAACCAATCCGTCATCATCATACCTACAATTTCCCTCGACCATTGTAAATACGGAACAATCGGACATTGCCATATAAATAATCTTTTATTAACCTCAATTGGGTGATGGGCGCACGAAAGGATCGCTGTTACTGCCGAGATAATGGTCCTTCTCTTCCGCATAGCTAAATTGGGTACTTAGGGCATCCAACGTGGAGGAAGCGGCCTCGGGAGAACTACGAGGATACGTATATCTGGCTACAACTGGGCCGACAAATGCCAACATAAACATACAGGTACAGGTCAATTGAGATATCAGAGCATCGCAGGAATAGCTATTATGGACTCGGGATCGTGAGTCTGCATGAGTCCCGGTTTTCCGGACGCAAGTCCGATGCAAGTCCGACTGAAGTGATTCGAGGAGGACGGATTGGGGGAAGACCACGTGATCCATACAAATCGAAGAAAAAGTCATGTGAATAGAGTATCTAATCTCATTTTTGAAGATTATAAGAGTCCGACTCTGGCAATTTTTTGCACATGTGAGAATATTAGCAGGCATCCCAGCAGAGACCAGGGCATCGACACTATCCGGTGGGATGAGCAGAAGGGCAAGACACGCATATTGAATGTACAGCGCTGCTCATTATGTTTAATAAAACGCTAACTACAGATAAACGCTATCTAAATCAGGAAACCCCGGATACGTTTCTCTTTTGTCCAAGATTTTCATATGCAGTGGCAGATATAGCATCACCGCCCACAGAGCCATGCGGTTGTGAGAAAGGGGGGTGGTACTTGCTTTGCCTGCGCAGTGAAGATGGCGAGTGGGCAGGGGCTGGGGGTCAATTGCTTGATCTGGGCATGAGGTATTTCGTGCGCAGTTGACGGGATTTATGTTGATATTTTGATATGAAAAGTTTATGATATCTTTGTCGAACTTTGAGCACAACGTGGTCCAGGTGTGTGGTATTCTGAGCCTTCTATATTTTTCACCAATGGCACATGGCAACCAGGAACCCGAAAAACATTCCTCGGCCTGGCCCACTAGATCGCCACATCAAACCTGGATTTGCTGTCCTTCGCAAGCACGCTTGACATACATGTAAACACAGAAAAAATAGATTTATGATAATGTTAACAGAGGCGTAAATATTAAAACGGTTGAGACGTGCATCTCCATGGTTGTCTTCACCAAGGAATGACTCGCCCCTATAACGGAATATCTAACCAGCGAGTCAGAAGAGACGACTTCCGCGAATCGTGGCTTAGAGCTCTGTCCAGCCACATACCAACGCCACTCCTGTCCCAAATACTTGGCATACGTTGATTTTGAGACAAATAAATAGACAAAAAATCCCCCTTCGACAACACCTCTTTGTTAAATCAGATTTACGATTCCTCAAAGATAAACAGAACCGTGAGTTACTTGCACCTCTATCGTGACTAGGAACAGAACTGACATTAGTCTTTAGATACAACCCTCCATCAACCAATCATCCTAACAATATCTCAACATGGGTTTCCACTACAATCACACGCGCAGGATGCACCAGTACACGGTCATCCCGCACGTCCTCTATGTGCGCCGCTGGGGCATGAAGAAATGGAGCTTGGCCTTCGGTAGCAAGGGCCGCATCACGTATGACTGAGCCATCACTCGACGAAGACTCAAGTTTGGCGGTGGGAGAGAATAATGTGCTGGCTGCGCTGGGCGACGATTCATGGCGTTAGGGTATACCTTTTTGGGAATGCATAATTTGATGCTTGCTTGCTTGCGATGGGATGCGGCAATGTTGGATACCTTGGATTTAATATTGGAAACGATTGTACACGGGTGGCGGATGTCCTGCTACTTGGAATAGGGAGCTCTTGCCTGACTTTGTTGGAGGTCTTTTAGAGTCGCAAGCCACTACCTTAGAAATTTGAGTTCATCTGCCTCCATTTCTGTTCGTGGGTTGTCCACTGCTACTCAACCTGGTATTCGTGGGCGAGGGTCAATCATCTCTCACCTATTGCCCCGTCTTGGCAGGGGCTGTGCCTAGCTGCCACTCAGTCGCAACAACATGCTTACTTACAACAACTCACAACGAAAACGCCTTACAGAACACAAGTCTAAATATCCTTATATCTAGCTGCCTTGAAAATGTACATATCACCATGCTGTTACGAACCCCAAAACCCCAAATTATCGCCAACTAACGCGCGAAATGGACATCCCCAGTACCGTCGTCCCAGCCGGCGGCGTCTCACTTCTGTTTACCACTGCGCTCGAGATTTTTAGCGGCGTCGAGTCTGCCGCTCAATTTAGCGAGATAGATGAGGTACTGCGAGTCAAGACTGAGGTTGTAAAGGTGCGACTTATCATCTGGGGACTGTCGATTGGTTTGGATGGGTTGCCAGAACAGCGGGATGATAAAGCAAACCAACAGCCCCGACACCGCCGTTCTCAGATACTCCTCACCCAGCGCCACGTTCAACGCATCAAAATTTCCGAAGATTCCGAGAAGCTGAAGGACGGGTATGGACTTATTCAGCGTGCGAATAAGGGGCCAATGATAGCGGCCTAGTTGAACGGTGTCAAAGTCAAGATCACCGCGCTCGTCTGCATTTGCTAGACAGTTTCTACATCCCTTGCCGGCATTCTGGTTCTTGACTCCAGAATTGTGGTTCTGCTGGGGCATATCCCCAGCGATGAAGAGTGGGAAGGCCAATACAGCCTTCTCCTAGCATTGATAGTCAGGACCATGCCCCTATCAAGCTTGGGCAAGTCAACGATGAATGAGAGCACCTCGTCGGAGCTTGCTCCGTGTGGTCCTAGTGTGAGAACGAACACATTTGCACGGTGCATTCGTGCTCGGAGAGTTTGGCCCGCAAGAGAGAAGTATACCCCCGTCAGGCTCCTGTACATATTACGATACAGACCAAAGACATCTATGAACATAATCAACGGGGCAGAGATAAAGCCCCGTTGCAGCAGTTCAGTGAGCCACTGTCGGCCATGTGCCCGGATCTCAAGTTCCGCAATATGCGGATGAGATTGGATGGCTGGCCTGATATCGCCTCTCTTTTCGTTGAAGATTTGTCGAATCTGGGACTTGGGATCGAAGGCAGCATTCTGGGACCCTGGAATCCCACTCTCGAAATTATATGTAATCGTCATGTCAATGCGATTGAGGATATCATCCTCGAGGACAAACTCAAAGTTGTCCTCGGCCAGCAGCATCTCAAGCTCTAATATTAGGGGATCCAAAGCCGCCCCTTTATCCTGGATATCATCCGGCAAGTTCCCCCTAAAACATGCCCTTTGGATCTTGATGGCTACAGCGTTCTTTTCGATGGTGTGAGATTGGTGGTCTCGTCCGACTGAATAAACTCGCCCAACGTAAACACCATCTCCTGCCCCCCTTGACCGATACTCAACGAAGTCTGACCAGACAATTGGAGTCCCATTAGAATAGCAGGCATGTTCTCCAGATGATGTGCGAGCGGAACAAAGCCAAGAATCAGAATGCCATAGCTCGGTAGGAGTATTAACAAACCACCCAAGACCGTGCCACATTCCCCCCCAGATGTCCTTGGACGACAGGATTCTCGCTATCAAAGACGAGAGCTCAAACCAGTGGGCATCAGCCTGCCTCTGGTGACCTGCTTTAGCCTTCTCCGCCGGTACCATCGTAGGCAATTTGTTTTGATTCAATTGAATAATCTTGTGGCGGAGTGGTATCAATGGCAGCTGGGCAACCATTCGTCTCTTGAGCGTGCCAATACCTCGCGGCAGGTCTGTTAACTCGTCGAGGGAGTTTATAAGGCCAAGGCCTTCACGTAACACAGCAAAGGCCTTCCGGGATATGTTAAACGTTTCAGCGTACGAGGCCAAAAATTGCTCGAAGTTGGTCATCGGTTTTGATAAGCGATTGTGTTCAACGGGTTCGGATTCATTTCCTCTCTAAGGAGAACTGTGTCTTCGATGGAGGTTTCAACGGGAGGAGGCATTGTGCCATCGAGGAACTCCTCAGAAGGGAACTCAAGATCAGCAGAATCGGTATCATCTTCCTTGTCATTAGGGCCAGGATATGTGCTGTGTAAGGATGCCTTCTCGTCTCTCATTCTAAGGAGTAGACTCTGGGTAGCTGTGGGGTCACGTGTGATCATTTGGGTGGGCTAACTGTTGGAGGGGAAAGGAGGACATGGGCGTGGGGATTCGGTGGAAATTAGGCCCTGAGACACCCGTATTTCCCAGGGCGACCGTCCAGCTCCCATACTGGGTGGCCGTGCTGATCTGCTGCAGCCACCGAAATCCTCCACCGCTCAGGTGATTACCACCCAGCCGTACGGGGTTTTTCCCCATTCCCTACATATAGAATACGTAGGCCCGTAGGATAGTATATGAATTCAATTGTTTCATTTTTACTCTAAATTACCATATTTACTGTGAGCGTTCTGTTCCGTTGCACCCGGGATTAATTACGGTCGCCGGAGATCTACATACAGTCCTGGCCCTACATCCCCGGACCGTAGAATTACTCCCAACACTAACTGTTGGAACATGGGATGTTCCTGATAGTACGCTGCACAGCGTAGATTGTATACTGGATGTATATAAGGGCTCCGCCCGCCCGTAGTTACTCAATCAAGTCGTCAAACTCCAATTATGTGTTCAACACTAACCGAGTCGGAACCAAGTCGGATGGTTTTCGGGTACTTGAGACTCACGGGGTTCCCCCTTCATCATTTTTGTATCCTTCGTAGTAGACCTATAGGATAGCATCCGTTTAGCCTCTGACCCGCACTCTCATATGCTATTACTGTGAGCTGGGTGCCCTGTGTCCTTGCATGCTGGCATCTTCACCCATTGGGATAGCCTCTTCAACTGTTTTTTCAGTGAGTCCTTGAATATTTTCCAGCCCATGCACGCTGCTCCTATCATCATCATTATCATCATCATGTTACGGCTATAGTAACATGATGTCATGGTTACAGGGCCAGGGCCTAGTAACGTGACGTGTGAGTCACAGTGGGAAGCGGGGTAGGCTGCCATGTGATGGGGCTAATGGATAGTTGCAGAAACTAGTGGATATTGGATAGTTGAGCTATCCACGAACTATCCTGAATATCTAGCTATCCGCCAACTATCCAGATTACCCATGAGGCACGACGCCACTATATAAGTAGATAGTATTTCCTTAGATAGGAGCTTCGTGCTCAACTCAATATAGTATTCTTTACAATACTGTAACGTGTTACTTGGAAAGCCTTTGTGTCTAATCCCCTGCCTCCTCTGTCAAGTCAACCTTACGCAAGAAACCTCTGTGTCTTCTATCATTTAGAAGTCAGCGTTACACATCACTATCACCATAGTCAAATGTAGTATCATCAAATTGATCATCTTCTATTTCATCATCTCTATTTGCCTGTGTATTTGATGCCTGCTGCCTCAACCTATCTGCCACTGATGTCCTCCAGTGGGGAAATAGAGGCGCGAGTAATTCTGCCCTCCTCCGCACTCGACTTCTCAGAAAACGGGCTGGCATCTCGAAAAACGGTGCAGCTATGGGCTACCTATGGTTGGGAGTACTTGAGGCACCTGAACTTCTGGTTTTTGGCTGAAGTTCAACAACCCACAAGTGTGAGGGGCCGCACCAACAGTGATATGCAACGTCGAAGAGACGGCAGATTTCTTCAATGTGGGGAGAGTGCCAGAATTAACTGGGAACCTCAAGGGAATTAGGATAGATCGATTCAAAACAGCTAAGTATACCACTGTGTTGTCATGGCGCTGTCACTGGAAGATGCCAGGCTGAGGAGAATCAGCTGGAATTGGGGTGGGGATTTCGCTGGAATTGTCAGGGGGGTGGGACAGTAAGACAAAGTAAGGAGCTGTTGACTTTCCTCACTGTCTTGAGGGCTCCAGCAAGGAGTATGTGTCAGAGCTATCACAACTGGCAGTGGATGAAGGGCGGGGGGAAGCTGGAGAATATTTGCTGGGGTTAGGCGAAGCTGGGGAGGGTTTGGTGATGCTAGGCGAAGCTGGAGAAAATTTGCCAGAGCTGGGCGAAGCTGGGGGAAATTTCCTAGGGCTGGGCGAAGCCGGAGAAAATTTGCTTGGGCTAGGCGAGGCCGGAGAGAATTTCCTGGGGCTGGGCGAAGCTGGGGGAAATTTCCTGGGGCTGGGCAAAGCCGGAGAGAATTTGCTTGGGTGGGCAGAGCTGGAGAATATTTGCTAGAGCTAGGCAAAGCCAGGGAGGATTTGGTGATGCTTAGCGAATCCGGAGAAGACTTGGTTGGGCGAGGCAATGCTGGAGAGGATTTCCACTTTAATGATCTTCTCAAAGAACCTGAAAGCAGGCAGCATTACCATGCGCGGTTTCTGTTGTGTTAGAGGACTGCTTTGGCAGGCCCTCTTGAGGAGCAGAAGAGGAGGGCATGAGGGTTGCAAGGGCGAGTGCAAGATGATGCAAAGAGAATATGGGCGGTGCTTTCCTTGGTGTTGTTACCAATCCAAATTCATACTCAGGCAGTCTTGGTGAAGTGAGAACGGTGCCTGGCTTTGCGCAGTATCTTGTGCTAAGGTGATGCTATCTATAAAACAATCAGTATAATTCATGCTCTTTATCCTTCCTTCAACTTACCTTGCTTCCTGTTGTTGGCTTATGTATGGTTGGTGATGAGGTTGGTGGTGAAGTGGTAATGTCAACACAAGCTGCTAATATGTCACGTGACTATGCTTCTCCGAATAGCTTCAATTCACCACCAACCTCATCACCTCAGCATCTTTGCCATACTCCAGTCCACGCTCTAGTCATTGGAAACCTCAAAAGAGTAAGTTTATTTTTATTGTTATATTCAGATCTAATGCCTCTAGCAGCAGGAAAAGTTTCATCTCTGTGTTTTTCTATTGGTCCAAGATTCATCGGTCCAACCTCCCTTTTTCCCAAGTGTTGGAAGTGGCTAGGCTTTAATGAGACGGATTCGTGCGCATGTATAGTTAGTTGCGTGTTTATCTTAACCACCTTTCCCTTTCTGTCTTTGTGATTATGGGCTATCAACCAGGCGGCCACCGTAGCAAAAAGCCAAAGGACAAAACAAAGGCAAGCTATTTTCTATCTTTTGATCCTCTCAGATGATAACCATCTATACAGCATCCCATTGAGAAGGAAATATCCCACCAACACGTGTTCACCAACGATGAACTGCCCTCAAGCCCTGATCGCGAAGAGACACCGGTGCATGAAGAACAAGGTCGCCACCATCAGGAAGACACTCCTCCTACCAGCAGCCGCCTCGTTGGAGATGAAGTCAACGACACTCTTTTTATCATGCCAGTGACAACCACCAATGCTGAGAGAGGCCGCCGAAGCAAATACTGCCCCATCGAAGAAACGCCGCCAGAGCTACACTGACGATGCTGGCAAGAACCCTGGCACAATGTACCCTGGCTATAACAACCGCCCAGTTGCTGCTGAGATGGCAGTATGGGAATAGGATCTCAGCCCGCGAAGCAGACGACAAGTGGACTGAGATATCTGAACAAATTGATCGGGAAGCGCGCTTCCTTCTTCTCCTGCATATGAGGCACGACCTTCTTGATATAAAAGAAGATGTCCTAAAAAAGGTGCTCCCAGAGTATCCAATCGAGTCAACAGTATATGGGAATGTCTGTGTTGTCCTTATGGAAAAGATCAAACGTTACCGGTATTCACTCATCAAGGATCTCATAGTAAGTAATACATCTCCCATCTCAAATGCAATTTCTAACATCTTTACAGCTTCACGTCAAGACTGCAATGAATGCAACAGATGGATCTGGTATTCGTTACTGTTACGATTATAGCTTACAGCTTGTTATGGTTGTTACAGTTGTTACGGTTGTTACGGTTGTTACAGGTGCAGCCTTAGCCACCAAGGCTACAACTGCTAAGCGGAAAACTGTATATTACAAGGAATAGCCTCACCTTCCTTCCTTCTTCTTCTTCTTCTCTCTTTAGATTCAATCTAGCTTATTATTCTCCGGACTGGCTTCTTGACCTCCGTGACCATCGTAACAGTTACTGCACGACCTTAGATGGCCTTGGAGATATGTTTAGTACTCGGTATACGACTGCAAATTTTTTTGAGGCATTTCGATTCATACACCATTATATCGACCTTGAGAAAAAAGCAGCGACCTCGCCCAGTACTACGCCAAGGAACTTTATATCAACGCTTGTGCCCGGACGAAATTGATGATAGACTGGAAATCTGACCCTGATCGAAAGGCTATTAGCCTACACTCCCGAGAAAAATTGCTGGGCGTGGCTACAGATCACGATGGCGCTGTTTGAAGCTAGATCTGGCATGAATACTGGCTATATGATAGAAATAATACGCAATGAAGCTTGATTCCCATGCCTTATTTGACACCTGCTTTCCTGTGCCTGCCGCCTCTCTTCTGTGTTCCTCCGCAGCTTGCGTCGCTGCCGTGATCAAAATGATCATACTCTTAGTGCTCCAGCCCACGCCATCGCTGATCTATCCTGCCGCTGAAGGAAGGCTTCCCGGGCCCCAAGAGCTCTACAGATCCAAATGACAGATAGCTGTGTGTCTATTAGGCTATCTGCCCTTGGAAACTTGGCCTCATTTCTCAATTTCCTCGCTCGCTTTCCTCTCCCGGTCTTCTTCACCGTTTTCCTTTGCCGTGTCCTTTGCCGTTTCCTTTGCCGTTTCCTTTGCCGTTTCCTTTGCCGTTTCCTTTGCCGTTTCCTTTGCCGTCTTTGACGTTGCCTTTGCCGTTTCCATCACCGCTTCCATCACCGCTTCCATCATCGATTCCTTCGCCGTTTCCTTCGCCGTTTCCTTCGCCGTGTCCTTCGCCGTTTCCATCACCGCTGCTATCATCAATTCCTTCGCCGTTTTCTCTGTCATTTCCACCACCATTTGCCTCTGTCATTTTCTTCGCCGTTTCGTCTGCCATTCTTCAGTTCCTCTTTGCCTTTCTTGCTTGGCCGGCGTACCTTTCAACTCTTGCGGCTTCCTTGCCGCCGCTCCAACTCTTGGTCCCAGGACCGCTCATAGCCTCATCCATGGCCGCAATGGTTCCATTCGAGGAAACCAGAAACGCCTGCCCTTGGTCTCGCCCTGGGGATGGTGATAATACCGTCCTCACTCCACACCGACAGTGTCAGGACCAAGGAGCGAGTGCTTTCGGTCAGTATTAGCCGTCGCCGTCATGGATTCATGACGATAGTTTGGCCGGCGACGGCAATATCACAACAACGGTCCTAGGGTTAAAACCAGTGGGCTTATTTCACTGTCATACTACTGTTGATTTTATATCTACTGTTCTACAGCTTCAACCGTAAGGGTTGAAGCCTGATCCCGGATTTTGGACGGTCTTCGGACCGGTGCACGGGCCAACTGACCGTGGGATGACCGGCCAAAATGGCTGGTGATCCCCACCCAGACCGTCCTCGGACCCCTCCACGAATACGTGGCGCGCCGGTAAGGTACCCCGCACTATTCCACTCCCTAGTTCGCCACTGCATTTTTTGGCTTTGGCAGCTCTGGCTGGTCGAACCTTGATAGTGAACTACAACGGTTTTAAATTAACTAATCTGTTATATGGATCATCTCAAAAATGCTTGCAGATGGGGTAGCTATTTATCCACCACTGCTAATGTCAATTAATATTTATTTTGTATAAGATAGGATCAAGCTGCCATCATGCTGTTTACCTTTTGCTATCCCATATTTTTAACGCGTCGCCACGAGGTTGATCAGCTTCCTGTCGTGTCTGCTCGTTCAGAGCTTGGCGTGAATGTAGTTTCGGGTGAACAATGGCCGTTGCATGATGATGGCCTTAATAAGTCGTCGAATGGTGAAATAACCCCTGAATATTGCTTGTTGAATTGGGGGGGCTAACGGCTCCAAAGGGACCATTACAGCTTCAAAATCAAGAGCGGCTATTCATTTGGTCTAGAGAGGTATGGATCTTACCGTCTACTATTGGAGTGATCTGATTGTTATGATATAGATGCACTACTGGAGAGCTCCGGTTCCCGAGATGTGGATTGACATTCTTCAAAAAGTAAAGGCAGCTGGGTAAGTTATGCCACATTTATCATATTAATGACCAGACTCTAACAGGAACAGCTTCAACACCATTAGGGGCACTTAGACCCTAACTATTATCAGGATACCACAATGCAAAGGACGTAACTTTGAACGCCTCTTCGAGATTGCAAAGGAGGTTGGTCTATACGTCCTCTTCCGCCCTGGCCCATACGTCAACGCTAAAGCTACTGCTAGCAGATTTCCAGGATGGGTTACGACTGGGGCATACGGTAGGCTACGCAACAATGACACCCGGCACACCGATGCTTGGACGCCATACATGAACAGGATGTCACAGATAATTGCCAAGCACCAGGTCACCAACGGCGGTAATGTTTTCATCTACCAAATCAAAAATGAGTTCGGAAACCAATGGCTCGATCGTGTGCAGATGCCTCCATGAGTTCCATATATCGACTATATGGAACTCATGGAGGCATCTGCAAGAAAAACGGAATCGATGTCCCGCTCATCCACAACAACCCGAATATGAACAGCAAGTCATAGTCCAAGGATTATAGCAACGAGGGTGGGAATGTGGCTATTTATTCCGCGGATCACTACCCGTCAGCTAGAGCTGTGATCTATCGGAGTGCACTGGGACCAATGGCAATGTGCCCGACTTCACCACATTTGAATACTACACGTCCTTCCAAGATGTAGCTTTAACGCAGCCATCTTTCTTGGCCGAGTTTCAAGGCGGGAGCTACTTGCCCCGGGGAGGCCCTAAGGGAGGCTGGTAAGAATTAATTCTGTCTCTAGTTTATGTTATTAGTAGTGGCTAACCTCGTTAAGTGTGAATAACACTGGCCCCGATTGGGTTAATGTATTCTATAGACATAACGTCGCCCAGAATATTGCAGCTGCGAATGTGTACATGGCGTTTGGAGGAACTAGTTGGTAAGAATTCTCTTTGAAACCTTTGACAACAACTACTAACTCGTAAATAGGGGTATGTCATCCGCCTCCCAGTTGAGTAGAACTTAATACTGACTCGAAATAGCCGGAATCCCCTTCCCAGGAGTTGGGACCAGCTATGACTACAGCGCACCAATTAGTAAGTTTATACATCGAGAATAATGAGCGAGCCTGCCACTGACATGCTTGATAGGCGAGACTAGATTCGTTAGCGACAAGTATTCCGAGACGAAGCTATTCGCACAATTCCTTCGTGTCGCCAGAGACCTTACGAAGGTCGACCGCGTCAACAATGGCACGACATATGCCTCGAACCTAGCCATCATGACAACAGAGCTTCGCAACTCCGACACTAATGCTGCTTTCTATACGGCTCATGCATTGTCACTATCGACTGATCGAAGCCCTTTCAAGCTGGATGTGTCTACATCCGCAGGTAGACTGAATATCCCGCAGAATGGCGGCGATATTGCCGTGAATCGAAGATTATTGTCACTAATTTTCAGCGTCGGGCGAGAGAAGCTCACCTATTCCACGGCAGAGGTATTGACGGCATCAATCACGGCAAGCCAATCGTTTTCCTCTGGTTGCCGGCTGGCGAAAGTGGAGAGTTCCTCTTGGACTGTATAAGGATTCCTTGTTCTGAAGAAAGACGACTGCTCCAATATAAAGTTCAAGCAAGGGGCGCAAGCATGTAAGTGCAGGGAGACTAGATTTGACCGAGTCCACGGAATGAGTCGAAGCCTTTAGAGATCCGATGAGACTTCCATATAACGTTTTTCTGGTCCGGATCTTCTTTCCATTGGATGTGATTGAGTTGACTGCTTTCGGGCCAAACAGTTCGAGATCAGTTTCTCAGACCAGTCTCCAGAAATTTCAATTGTCTTCTTTTCAATGGCTACGTTGCGCACAAGATATGGGCCCTGGACGACGACTAATCTCCGTTAGTAAAGTAATATGAACCAATAGAAACAAATGTGCTTTACCTGTTGTGTTCTCATAAATAAATGGATTGTTCTTGCAGCTGTCAAGCTGCAAGAATGCAAGCGTCGCTGAGACATGTGAATTGGAGATATCGCCGACAGCGGGCTAAACTGAGGCTAGGTTGGCCAGTCACATATTATGTGTCTTACCCCTCAATCCCCTCAATCCCCGCATCCGAGTGTATACACGCCAACTCTACTAAAAGTACGTAGAGTGCTCTAGTAAAAGTGTAAAAGTGTAAAAGGCCCGAAGATATCCCAAGGCCGGCTGGGAGCCAGAAGGGCCGCCGTGCTCTGACGCGTTCCGGTGTGCATTGGAGGCTCATAGGGCTTATGCTTCGTATAATCTGCATGTTTCCAGCTTGATTCTCTCAGTGCCGAGAGCTCCATTGGCTGCTCATGTTCCCTGTGGCTTGACTCGAGTACTGTAGTACTGGGGTTTAGTGCTGTCCATTGAGCTGTCCAGTATATCCTACCGTGCAAGGTTACTCCACTCCGTCCAGTCAGTCAGTCCTGGGCGGATTGACTAGATGGAGTATTAAAGTCGAGGTATGACCTGGATGATTCGTGATCTTCACCTCACCTCACCCTCACCACCATCCCTATCACAATGAAGGTCGCACTTTCCTGGGTGTTGGCAGCCGCCGCGGCTGTCTCTGCCACCACTTCAATTGAATACCGCACTGCCTCCAATGGCGATCCTTTGGCAAATTGTCCAGGTTACAAGGCCTCAAACGTCAAGCTTGGCAAATCGAGTCTGACTGCCGACCTGACGCTCGCTGGAAATGCTTGCAATGTCTACGGTGATGATCTAAAGAGCCTGACCTTGGAGGTCGAGTACCAGACTGGTAAGTTTCATGACACCCTCGTACAACCCAATTGGCCCCTAACGCGTAAATAAAAAGATGACCGCATCCACGTCAAGATTGCAGATGCTGCCAACAGCGTCTACCAGGTCCCAGAGAGCGTTCTCCCGCGCCCCAAGGCGAAAGACGGTATCAAGTCGGCCAAATCCAACATCCAGTTCAAGTACAAGTCAAACCCGTTCTCCTTCTCCATCATTCGCCCGGAGACTGGGGAAGTCCTCTTCGATTCTTCTGCCGCAAGCATCATCTTCGAGTCCCAGTACCTCCGCCTCAGGACCAAGCTCCCAAACAACCCCAACCTGTACGGCCTGGGAGAGCACTCTGACTCGTTCCGCCTCAACACCACCGACTACGTCCGCACTCTCTGGTCGCAAGATGCATACGGAATCCCAGCCGGCCATAACTTGTACGGAAACCACCCCGTCTACTACGAGCACAGGACCACGGGCAGCCATGGTGTCTTCTTCCTCAACTCCAATGGCATGGATATCAAGATCAACAACGACAAGGGCAAGAACCAGTACTTGGAGTACAACACTCTCGGTGGTGTCTTGGACTTCTACTTCGTCGCTGGACCGACACCAGTGGCTGTTGCGCAGCAGTATGCTGAAGTCGTGGGCTTGCCTGCCATGATGCCGTACTGGGGACTCGGGTACCACAATTGCCGATACGGATACGAGGATGCCTTTGAGGTTGCTGAAGTGATTCACAACTACTCCGTGGCTGCGATTCCTTTGGAGACAATGTGGACCGATATCGACTACATGGACAGAAGAAGGGTGAGTCTAAGTGTCCCCACCTCCATATCACGACTGACATTTTAGGTCTTCTCGCTTGACCCCGAGCGATTCCCTCTGAAGAAGATGCAGGCGATTAACGATTATCTACATGCCCGCGACCAGAAGCAGATTGTCATGGTGGACCCGGCTGTCGCCTACCAAGATTACCCGCCATACCACAGCGGCGTTGCAGATGATATCTTCCTTAAGCGCAACAATGGATCCGACTGGTTGGGCGTTGTATGGCCTGGTGTTTCGGTCTTCCCCGATTGGTTCCATACCGGTGTCCAGGACTGGTGGAACAACGAGTTTGCTTCATTCTTTGCCGTCGACGGAGTCAACATTGACGGTCTGTGGATTGATATGAACGAGCCCTCTAACTTCCCTTGCAACTTCCCTTGTGACGACGTATGTATCCTATTCCCACCAAAAAGTTGCATCTGCTAATATTGCTTTTAGCCATTTGCTGCCGCCGTTGGATTCCCTCCTGAGCCACCAGCAGTGCGCCTGCCACTCAGAGCGCTTCCAGGTTTCCCCTGTGATTTCCAACCCGAGGGAACACCATGCACAGCATCCAAGGAGAGACGCGCAATCGAGGCCCCAGTTGTGTCATCATCCAAGGTCGAGCGCCAGGCAGCTGGACAGCAACTTGGCCTGCCAGGCAGAGACCTACTGTACCCCAAGTATGCCATCCACAACGCAGCGGCATTCACTATCGAGGATAATGCGGCAGGCGGTGGTATCTCCAACCACACCGTCAACACCGATGTCATCCACCACAACGGCCTTGCCATATACGACACTCACAATCTCTACGGCTCAAGTATGTCCCCCCAGCTCATAAACCTGAACATTAGCTAACCAACCCAGTGATGTCCGTCGCCTCCCGCGAGGCCATGCAGTTCCGCCGCCCCACCGAGCGCCCTCTGATCATTACCCGCAGCACCTTCGCCGGTGCCGGAACCAAGGTCGGCAAGTGGCTTGGTGACAACGTCAGCTCTTGGCTCGGATACCGCATCACCATCAGCGGTATGCTCGCCTTTGCCTCCGTCTACCAAGTACCAATGGTCGGCTCCGACGTCTGCGGTTTCGCCGACAACACCACCGAGCACCTCTGCGCCCGCTGGGCCATGCTCGGCGCCTTCGCCCCCTTCTACCGCAACCACAACGGCTACATCCCCCAGATCTCGCAGGAGTTCTACCGCTGGGACAGTGTCGCCGAGGCTGCCCGCAAGGCAATCGACATCCGTTACCGCCTGCTCGATTACATCTACACCGCTCTCCACCGCCAGACTCTTGACGGCACCCCGCTCGTCAGCCCGCTCTTCTACCTCTATCCCAACGACGCCAACACCTTCGGCATCGAGACGCAGTACTTCTTCGGCTCCGGCATCCTCGTCAGCCCCGTCATCGAGGAGGACTCCACCTCCGTCTCCGCCTACCTCCCCAAGGACATCTTCTACGACTTCTACACCCACGCCAAGATCCAGGGCCAGGGCAAGCCCGTCCCCCTCAAGAACCTGAGCACCTCCGATATCCCCCTCCATTACCGCGGCGGCGCCATCATCGCCCAGCGCATCGAGGGCGCCATGACCACCACTGCGCTCCGCAAGAACGATTTCGAGCTCATCGTCGCTATTGGCGCCAACGGAAAGGCTGAGGGCGAGCTGTACCTCGATGACGGTATTAGCCTTGTCCAGAAGGGCACGACCAGCTTGAAGTTCGTGTATGATGGGAAGACGCTTAAGGTTAAGGGAAGCTACGGGTATGATTCCAAGGTGCAGATTAGACAGGTTACCTTCCTTGGACTGAAACTCGGTGGAGGCGGTGGCAAGGGCAAGGATTGCAAGGTTAACGGCGTCAAGAGCAAGTCTGCCGTCAAGGCTGATTCGGGTGCCGTGGTTGTCCAGGTTGGCAAGGGACTGAGCGCTGACTTCACTGTCGAGGTTGAGCAGTAGATTGTAATTATGGGTGGACTGACTGCTTTGTCCACCACACCTGGGGTATTGTGATAGGATAAAAGCTTAATCAGCATTATTACCCTGCACTCATTTTGTACACTGAATGCATAGTGTAATTTCAGGCATATTTTGCCTCCATATTGATACACCTAGGCTACCAATCTAGCAACTATATGAGCAACGCAGCTAAGCTACATAATAGCAATATTCCCAACGCCAAAGCAAGGGTCTCCCCACCCACCCCCCCTGGCCACATATGCGAGTAGTACAGTACAGTAGTAGTAACTGATGCCAGATCCCGCGCCTAAGAATGCCCCATGTATCCGTACACGCCCTCTGGAGGGTACGCGCTAAGAGGAAGTCTACTCCTCATCCATCAAACACCCCAAGATAAGACTCTGCACAACGAACTCATCCCCCACAACTCTAACCTTCTTCCTCTCACCTCCCTGTTCCAACCCAGTCTTCTCATCCTCCACTTCATCACCCCTCTTTCTCTTTCCCGCCTTCCCTTTCGCCTTGCCCTTGGCCTTTGTACCACTCTCCACCCCACCCAGAATCTCCGCCTCCGCACCAGCAACCTTCCGATCATCATCCACATACACCAAATCCCAACCGCCACCTTTTTCCACCACCTCCCTCGCCTCCTTCACACTAGCCACACGCCTCACTTCACCCGCCCCCAACGCCCGCGTCAAAAAGAGATACGCTCTCTTCCGCTCCTCCGCCTTCCCCCGCCCCATAAGGAAAATAACTCTCTTCCCACCAAGTAGCTTCTCGCGCCGCTCAAACGTCTCCTCAAACCGCGCAGTCGATGGATCATAAGGCGCGAGCAGGCGACTCCGCACCGCGCCCCCGAGGTACGACGATTCGCCCGCCGCGAGCAGAAAAGGCAGGAATGGCACGATTCTGCCGCGTGCTACGCACGTCGTGACCCAGCGCCCAGAGAGGCAGGGCAGGCCCAGCGCGAGGGCCTGCACGAACTTGGATTTACGCGTGTAGTGGTCGCCGATGAAGGCTACGAAACCAAGGTCCTGCGCGGCGGGTGCGAGGGCCAGCTCGCCAATCTGTTTTTGTTTGTGTTTGAGTGGGGGTAGCGGCTGTTTTGTGGCGGTGGAAGGCGTGGTGAGGACAGAGGTGGGGCCATCCGTAAATAGATCATTGAAGCCATCAAGGAGGCGGCCGCCGTGGGATTTGACGAGGCGCGTGACGGCTGTGCGGTCGGAGATGTCTTGCGCCGTATCACCTTTGTAGGAGATGGCAAAGGCCATGTTAGCGAAGAGGGTTGGGTTAGTGGTTTTTTGAAGATGGACGGCTTTGGGAAGGGTTGGGGGTCCTTTGGTGAGGATATCTGGGGAGCTGGATTTAGAACTGTCGGATTTGGTATCGTAGTTTATGGAGGCCCGGCGGGTGGAGCGAGCTGGGCGCTGAGGACGGACAGGTGTTAGTTCTACTACAGTACTGCTACCTTCCTCAGAGAAGTCGGTGGTGCTCATAGTTCTCCGTGACGCCCTGGAGTTGCTACGGGAGCTCTGTGCACTCAGCTTCGCCTTCCCAGTTGCTTCCACTGCCTTGCTACCTTGAATTGCTTCGTTTCTAAACCTCGTTTGGCTGGCCGTCAGCGGTCCTTGAGGAAATGATAGTTTACGCCTGACAGTAGGCGGTGGCATTGATTCCGCATAGTCTCGCGCAGGGGTTCCATTGTCACTCGTATCTGTAGTTGTATCTGTCGACCTGCTCCTATCGTCACGGTTTCGAGTGTTGCTATTCTCCATTACAGCAGTGAAGAACTCATCATTGTCATACTCCGACGGCAGTTCAGAGAGAGACGAGCTGGTGGAGTGCCGAAGATTCGAATCATGAAGAGTGACGTATGTAGATATATTTTCCGATGACTTCAGGTTCGCTGTAGCGGGGAGATGAGATGAAATTTCCTCAGCATTTCCGCTATGTTGTGTGGAAGGCAGAAATGCGGAATCTTTCGACCCCGAACTGGTTACGCCACTGGATATCATGGGAGCGGCTGGTCGATGCCTTTTCAAATACATCTGTCGAATCTCTTCGTCGTGGTAATAAGCCTGATGGTCCTTCATATTACACGGCCTATCGGCGCTATAAAACGGGCATGGAAGCAGCTCCGTCTCGCCTGTAGGAGCCTCTCCTATGGTCCCAATTGACTGGCGAATAGGCGATACCGACTTTTGCGCAGTAATCATAACCACATCATCTTCGCTGACTTGACTTTCTCTGGGTACCTGTTTGCTATCAAACACAACACCAGAAGCTCGACGAGCTTTCCTTGCGGCACGTGTTGCAGGCCTCACTGGCGATGAATCAGCAGCATCCACATCGGCGCTTTGCAAATTATCTGCCGACGACGGGACTATCTGCGAAGGTGCTGCGAGAATGGGTTTGATAGAGGGAATCAAAGGTAGACTAGAGCTCATAGCTGATTCTCCAGAAAATACGACCTGCGATTTTTTCGAAATCGCGACTTTTTTGGAAGCCGCAATATTCGACTTGGCTGTGTTGGCTGGACCGACCTTAACCCCACGTTTCATAGCAAGGTCTCTGATCGGGCTCGCAATTGCATCGTACTCCGGATCATCCTGGGTGAAGCCAAGGCCACCAATAGAGACTAAGGAAGGCTCCGGGGAGTCATCCATATCAAAAAGCTTAGCTGGGCTCGTCTCGGGGACCATGTCCTCGGCCGATGCAGGCATAAAGACAGCCTGCGAAAGGCGACCAGGTGTTTGAGGCAGACCACTCTTGCCAAAGCGACCGCTAGACGTGCGAGGTGACCTCATTCTTGGGGACATGGAGCTTTCTCTATGTGCGGATTCGGTATCGGAGTTGTTTTCTAGGGTGGGTAACGGCGGTAATACCTCGTTCCCTTGAGGTTTGAGATCCGTAGACGCAGTATTTGACTGGTTAGTCAAATTGAAACAGTCGTTCGAAGGTATGGGGCCTTTTTCTAGCCTTGATGATCTGTTACTGGGTGATGGACTGTCAACAGGGGCCGCGATTGGAATTTGTGAATCGACGATAGTCATCTCTGCCTGGGTACCTGCTTGAGTATCACCCTGGTCGTTCTCGTCCGTCTTTATAGAGTCCCGAATTTGGGTACTAGTCTGGTTATCCCTCGCATCAGCGTCGTAGCACTGGGCGACGTATTCCTGAGATACGCTCCGGCGCTTCTGGCCAGTTGCTGGCACCTCGACCTCCTCCTCCTTCGGCGCACGGGTAACAGATACTTGCGCAAGCTCTTTGGCAGCATCCTCTCTCATTTTCCTTTGCTTGGCGCGAATAGCTTGATCTCTTTCAAAAGAATCCTCCTCGCTATCGCTGTCGGCTTCAGCCTGTGCCTGCTTTTGCAAGCGGCGTTGCTGAGACTCTTCGCGACTGACATATTCATGCGGTTCTGACCCTTTGAAGCTGATTGCTCGGTGCTGAAAGCTTTTTGAGGTTCGCGGAACCGGCGTTTCGTGGGCAACTGGGATATGCCCACGGTAACTTGCACTAGCTGGTGTCTTGCTGCCATGGTGGTATAGCGGAGAGGTGAAGGCAGGAAGACGGTGGCCATGGCCGGGCGCTTCATTATCGCGAGAGCGATTTGTAGCAGCTGATTTCGCCTGATGTAGTAGAGGAGATGAGAGGTCTCCGGGAGGGTGATATGAAACCTGTTGAAAGCGGTCGGTGACTGACGATAGTACGCGGTTTCGCGACGACTGCACCCCGAAACCAAACATGCCAGGTGAAGGCCTCGAAGACCCAGACTCCAAGACATGAGGGTCTACCGGAGACGATTGTGTGTTATTGAATAATTGCGTCCCCTGCAAGGGCGGTTTCGACTTTGCAAATGGGTTTTCAGGCGGGGCAGGCGTCTCCGGTCCCAATTCCATTGGTGCTTCGTGGACCGTAAACCCCTCATCTATTCCTATCGAAGATTCGCGATTTATTGGCGCATGTACTTTGCTCGTTGTGAAGGAGAAGCGCACGCTGCCTGTTTCGTTCTCATCGTAACTCCTCGCAGAGGCTGTGGGACCCAGATTTGTCTGCAAAGGGAGTTCATCATCGTGACCTGGCACGGGAGACGACGAAGGTATATGCATATCGCCATAAGCAAGACTGTTATTCTTCTGTGTGGGAGAGCCATCTGGTTCGCTGAGATTGGCGTCCGATGGTTGCCAGTCGTCCATGCTGTGTTTCGTAGGCCTATTCAGGCTCTTCCCATGCTTGGTGGTGCTTGTCGCAGAGCGTTGGTTGTATGTCCGCGGTTGTTGCTTGGAGTTATTGGATTTTTCTCCGGAACGATGTGAAGCAGCGTGTCGTGGCTGATGTTTGTCGTCGCGGCAATGCAGCGTCTTATCCTTATCACTCGTTATAGACTCAGGTTCATATTTCTTTCCATGCAATCCTTCCTTGTTGGGTCGATCTCTGTTCAAGCTGGTTTCTTTCTGTCCATCTCCACTCCCAGCAGTGCTTGCGCGTCGTGCTTGAGTCTCCAGCAAGGAGCCAAAATCAACAATATCCGACGTCTGTGTATCCTCTCCTTCACCACTTTGCCCATGAATCGCCGATCCCTTGTCGACAAATATCTGAGAAGGCTGTGAACAGACGTGCTCTGGTCGAGGCACAGAAGTCGCGGGTACCGACAGGAAAGCTACCTGAGAGTCGTCCAAGAGGTGTTTTTCCTGGAGGTTCCTTATGAGCTGAGTATCAAGGGATTCGGAGCCAGCCGTTACGTGCAATGGCCCGTCTGGCCACAGTGCGAGCGGTTGTGAGGTCGAGAAAGTTGGATCTCCAGCCTTGCTGGTCGTGGCCACCATCGCGGGAAGTGTGAGTGGTCAGTGCCACCCTTGCGTCGCGGCGATGACTTGCATACACGCAGAGAACGCGACGAAATTCTGTCAGTCGACGTGGCTATCTCGTCAACTCCATGGCTCGCTTCTTCATCTGTTGTCGTTGTCGCCTGGAGATGAAATCGATGTGCTGGCGGTAATTTGAGCAGAGCAAGGGCTCAGGGTAAAAGAATGCATGGTGGCTATTGTCACGCGGGGTTCAAGTGTCACCCTTGGCTTTTGTGAGAGGAACAAGGGAGGCCAGCACCGCGTTAGTGACACGATGTCACGTGGGTACAAATTTCTCACTACGAAAACCAACCTCGCGACCACAAGTAAAGTCGAATTGAGGGGAGTATAAATATCATATAACGTTAATGGAAGAAGATAAATCTTGGCGACAGAATATGATAACGGTGCAGATGCAATCCAAGTCTGAAATTACCGACAGTAGACTCCACGGTGACAACAAGATTCATAGTGACACAAACGGGACAACCCACCCGAAAGGCCTCCAGAACACCACGGGGGATGGCTATGGAAGCATGAAGGTTGCGCAGTTTGTTACAGCATTCCCAACCAGCACCCTCTTCGGTGACAGCTGTTCGGTGACAGATGCTCGGCGACAGCTGCTCGGCGACAGCTGTTCGGTGACAGCTGCTCGGTGACAGCTGCTCGGTGACAACAGCGCGACAGTGAGAACCCTCCAAAACACCAGCGCCTCATTTATCGAAATACGGACTTATTTTTCCTCTTTCCATGAGCCACCTCCTCTTTCTTCGAGCTTCTTCTTCTTCATTGATGATTGGGACGAAAGTTTTGATAGCGCCGCTTCCTCCGTCTCGACCCCCATATAACCCAGCTGATTATCGGTCTGACTGATCCATCTCTGCTGCTCCTGACTGACATGCTTATCTGCCCGTATATATCTTCTTCGAGCGGGGGAGTTGTGGAAATGACGTGCTTGAACAGGCATCAGAAACAGAACCAGCAACAGATTATTTGTTGAGAGGAAAAAACCTCGTGGGGAAAGTTGGGGTTGTATTTATACCCACCGGGTAGACTCAACATTCGTGGAGTGAGAGAAGGCGAGTAGGACGCCGATGGTTAGCTATTCCATCACCACATTCTGCAGCTTCAAATATTCATCAACGCATAAACCATTCATTGGGGGATCAATAGGCTTTTATTCCACATCCTACCAAGATCATTCTCTACCTGCTATCCGCCCCTCAGCGCGCGCCCGTAGGCCTTGGCTCCCCTCCCCATCCCTCACATCCATGTATAAAAAAATCCCATCCCAAAACCCCGCATCTATGGAAGACAGTAACCACCATCAACAATGATATCCGTCCCCGTCGTATAGCTCGCCGCATCACTGGCCAGGTACAGGTACGCGCCCTTGAGCTCGTGCGCCTCGCCCTCACGACCCATTGGGATCTTGTTCTTCCAGATCGCCTTCGTCTCCGCCGGCACGAAGTCGCTGATCTCGGTCGCCATGTAGCCCGGGCTGATGGAGTTGGCGCGGGCAAAGCCGACCCACTCGACGGCGAGGGACTTGCCTGTGTGGGTGTTAGTAACCTCATCTCATCTCATCTCATCTCAGATCATAATAAAGAGGGTAACGGAAGGGGAACATACAAAGGTGAATAACACCAGCCTTAGCAGCGTTATACGCTCCCTGCAGTTGCGGGATGTTGACAATATGTCCGCTCATACTCGCCGTAGCAACAAAGCTTCCATAAGTGAAGTTCTCAAGCTTCTTGCCATCGGTAGTGGTGCCCTCGGCCTTTTGGCGGCGCCAGTGCTTACCCGCCGCGCGCGCAGAGTAGAAGGTTCCGTCCAGATCCGTGGTGACCACCTTCTGGTAGTGGGAGATCTCGCCATCGAGCATGGCGCCCTGCGTCCATGGGATGCCGGAGTTGGCGATGAAGATGTCTAGGCGGCCGCCGAAGTCCGAGACGGCTTGGTTCACTGCGGCCTCGACGGTCTCGTAGGTGGTGATGTTTACCTGGTACGCCTTGCCTGTCGGTGGTGTTAGTTATTGGGATTGTTCGTTTTCAATTGCTCGCCTGTTCAGATGGTGATGTCATATGATATACTTACACTTGACGCCAAAGGTCTTCTCGATCTTCTCGGCCTCCTGGATGGCCTTCTTGTTGCTGTTGTACCAGATGGCGACATTGGCACCTGCCTCAGCGAGGGCGTGGGCGACGGCAAGACCGATTCCTGCTCCGGCGCCGGAGACGATGGCAGTGCGTCCCTTGAGGGAGAAGAGAGGGAGCACACGATCGGTGTATTGGGGTGCCACGGTGTTGTTGTGGGTGAATTGGCCCTGGACGATAGTCTCTCCTGCCATCTTGAAGGTTGTAGTGAAGGGTATTTGGGTAGTGAAGGCGATTGAAGAAGTTGTGTGTTTGAGTGAAGCTGTGATTGGGAGGTATATGGAGGTGAGTATGAAGAAGAGAAGAGACCGGAGTTGCGGGAGAAGAGAGGGGGAATATATAAATGAGGGGTATAGTAAGCCATTATGCAACCCCTTTCATATGACGGCATAGATACTGGTAACTGAGTACAGTCAGTACTCGTACAACTGTTAAGTTAACTGTAACTGTATACTCCGTAGATTTGTCCTTGATCTTCTATCGTTGAGGTCATTGCGGGGCAAGATACTCCGTATCCGATAACCAGACCTGTATAAGTACCCACAGTATTAATATTGTATTGGTGGTACAACAGTATGGTACGGCATATCCCTATCGATTGGCAGTTCCCGCTGCATTCGGATTGGACGGTGAGAAGGGCTGTACCTTGATTAGTTGGGTTTAGCGGGGTATTTCCCGGATTAACTGTCGGTTCCGACGATTGGTGGATTAGTGCATACCTGTTGAGTAATAAATAGAGGGTTTCAGCCAGAATTGCATGGCATGATTGCATGCCGTAAGAAGTACGATCTGCGACCCCCCCCTGTAAAACCCCTGTAAAACCCCCATACTAGCTGCCGCCACCTCACTGGCGCCAAACCCAATGCATACATACGTATGCTCTGTCGCAGCATAATTATGCTGCGTAAAGACATACGTGAGCATGCCCACATTTAGTTTAGACTGTAGAAGTAGAGCCTTGGCAAAGGCTCTACTCTGACAACGTAGGATATCTATACTATATTACAAAATGGCTAACCCCTGCAACTCCATTGGCTATTAAATAGCGAAATTCATGATTGGTTGTTTGTTCTTCTAACCCTCTTATTACGGTGTTAGGCTTAGGGCGCAGAGATTTTGCTCTAGGTTCCACTCTTTTACGGACCGTATACAGTTAGCACATGCCATCCGTAGCCCCTAACCTGTAGGTCTATAAGAAATAGTATGTACCTCTGCCTCCCTAATGTGGCTGTAAACTGTGCCTTCTACACGGGTGATATGAGTTCGTCTCCTCCAGTTCGCTGTTCCCACTGCCATACGTACCGGGAGCCGTCGCTCTTCCCTGCAAATCGCCTTGGGCGCCGGTACGCAACGTGCTCTCTGTGCTCTACCTCTCAGTCCTCTCGCCATAGCATCCGTGCTAGCTCTAGGGCATTGTGTCATACTGACATTCGTTGCACTCAGTTTGCTATCAAACTCAAGAGCAAACTTGGAAATCTCCTCCTCAAACCTACAAGTCACTATACATATTTTGGCTTATCACACCAACAACAAGAGCAATACTACTCAACGATTGCTACAACCATCTATGATTCATTACACATCATCGCTCCTTAGTTACTGGGCCGATATTACCACATAGCATATCTCTACAATGTAAGGATGCCTCCGTACCTAGATACTCGAAGAACCTGTCTCAGAACTGTTACGGTCACTACAAGCATGGAATCCGACTCGGTGGAGTTTCGAACCAGTAGAGGAGCATATAGCGAGTTACACTATAGTGGGGGACGGTAAGTGTATAGGGTTCAGGGCTGATGTAGACCTGTTGCGGTGGAAGGTTCAGGGCTAGGGTTGGGATAACCGAGTCGGGCCCGTTTCGGGAGTTAAGGAAACAGACTCAACGGGGTTCCCCCTTCATCTTTTTTGTATCCTTCGTAGTAGACCTATAGGATAGCATCCGTTTAGCCTCCGACTCGCACTCTCATATAATATTACTGTGAGCTGGGTGCCCTGTGTCCTTACATTATACAAAAAAGATCACGCCTGCCGGGGACGGCCGTACTTAAATAATATCCCACACCGGAACGACTCAGGAGAACTACCGCTGCACCATCGACTGCGACTCGGTGATGTTTCGGAGGAGAGACCCGACGACTTCAAATAGCCGTGATTCCAGAGATCTCACGGACAGCCAGTGGATCAGGGTTTGATTCTTCAGAACAAGCTGGTAAAGTCGCCGACGTTGGCGCCAAATAGGATACGAGATCCTTAAGAACCCCCTCATAGCACAGAGGAAATTGTGGACAAGAGCGTTGATAGCTACGAGCTACCGGAAGTCAAGCTCTTTCGTATCGGTACTGATACACACCCAAGGCAATATGTCGAAAAAGCCGACATCAAACATACCCCAAGACAACGACGGTCAACTGCCCAGAATGACTACCGGACAAACCACCACTGCAGCTACGACGTCTGTGCCATCCGAAGACATCCCGAGTCGAATGGCCCACCTCAAAGCACAGATACAGGAGGTCAAGGATCTACTAGTTATCCTGTCGGGTCCCAGACCAGAATCCCGTCCACACCACTGGTGGACGCCCCCATACCCACAGTCGAAGTTACGGAGCAACGAACGCCTCGTACACGAAACACACCCGAGACGGTTCAATTGCCGCCTCTTCGGAACACTCGTTCTCCCTCCATTCCAGGGTCATCACGAATGCACACCGAGGACCCTCCGAATCGCTATAAGAAATCAACCATCTCTGAGAAAATCCTTCCTCTCAGCGATGGGGTAGAACATACCTTCAGACAATGGAGCGCTTCGATTCGGGACCGACTCGTAGTCAATGAGGATCACTATCTTACCGACGTCTCCAGAAGAGTGTTGATATGGGGAACTACGACCGGCCTGGCGAAGACCTACCTAGAGCCCCAATACCTGTCCGCTACGCATGGGTTCCGCAGTGCTGAGGAGATGATGGATCTACTAGGTTCATACTACCTCACAGGCAACGAGACGGAACAGGCCAGGAACCTCTTCGACGACCTGCAAATGGGAGAGAAAGGGCATGCTAGCGAAACCTTCCCAGAGTTCAAGGCTCGTTTCCAAAGTGCAGCTATCACAGGACAAGTCTCCGAGTCGGAATGGTTTCGGTACATGTGGAACAAGTTGACTCCTCAATTCCGCAGCCGCGTTGCGATCATCAAAAACCAATGGAAGGGAGAATACCTGACCATGGTACGAGAACTTACCGCCTTCGACCAGGAACGGCGCCGGAACAACGAATTTGAATCCGCAACCCGCTCTCGCAAGGACGTCCACACATACCACGGATACGGCAAAGGCGTCATCAGCGTCGAAGCCGACTCGAGCCACATCCGCTCTGTTCACCCGAACCGCGTTCCTCCCCAAGCCAGCCATACCGGAACGTCCGAGAACTGCAGTCCCTGCGCCCTCAGGAAACTGTTTCAAGTGTGGAAAGCCCGGCCATTTCCAGGACAAATGCCCCCTTAACGCTACTATCAAGGAAATGGACCGTAACGACCCCGAGGCAGAAGAACAATGGGAAGAAGCTGTGGAACTTCAATCAGATGCATTCCTCGAGGAAAACGACGAGGCCTAGGAGAAGGCTCCTTCCTAGGTCTATGCAAATGTGACCTGCGAGGACTAGACTTACGAGAACTCCTGGGAGGCACCCAGTTCTTAGTCGACACGACCCTGAGTATGAATGGACTCGGTGTGCAAACGAAGTCCCTAGCAGACACAGGAGCAAACGGCTACCTCGTCATTAACAAGCCTTTCGCAATACGACTGTCGAAAGCGCTTCAGAGCCCTATACGGAAACTACCCTACTCTGTACCCATACGTGGATTTCAGTGCAAAATCCAAGGCCACGTATCGGAGTATATTCGGTTACACTTAACAGTCGAAGGACGCTGAATATATAACTGTCCCTTTGTACTCCTGGACCTCGGAGCACAAGATGTGATAATTGGGAAGAAGCTTTTCAGCCGCTTCCGAATACTACTCGACTCTGCAAAGAGCCGGTTAGTATGGCCAAAGGAGTACCCGCCGACTCCTAGCTGGAGCAAGGAGATCACCTTGCCCTACCACTCACGCGAAACGTCCATTAAACATCCTGCATACCAGTCGGATGCGAATCGCCGGGATTTCGCAATCCACCGCGAAGACAGACGCCGCGCAGGCGGACGTTCAATGGAAATGAAAGTGATAACTTCCGACTACGAAGAGATCACCGATACGCCATAGAACCCACCACGAAACCAGGAGGTTTCTCCCCCACCGCAGAAAAACCTAGTACATAGGTTTACGCCCATGCATATATGCGAAATCAGTGCAAATGCTTTCCACCACGAGATGATGTGAAACGACTCCGAGTTTTTTCAAACTAGCATCTACGAAATCGATCAGATCATTCATGAAAAGGAGTTGGTAGAGGACGAAGAAACGCTCTGCCTCATCCAGCAGAAGCTTCCGCATAGGCACCGGAGGTACACCGATGTCTTTTCGAAGTTGGAATCGGATCGAATCCCCCCCCACCGCATATACGACCACAAGATACAGCTCGAAGCCCCTTTACCAAACGCTTTCTCCCCGTTATATCGACAGGGCACCGAAGAGCTTAAGGCTATGAAGCAATACCTGCTGGAAAACCTGGAAAAGGGATTCATCGTCAACAGCAACAGCCCCTTCGCATCCCCTATCCTATTCGTAAAGAAAGTGGATGGCAAATTAAGATTTTGCATCGATTACCGGAAGTTAAATGGTCTCACGCGGAACGATCCCTACCCCATCCCGCGTATCGATGAACTACTAGGACGGGTGTCGAAAGCAAAAATCTTCACGAAGCTAGATATCAGACAAGCCTTCCATCGTATACGGATGCACCCCGACTCGGAAGAGTACATGACCTTTCGGACTCGCTATGGATCATATAAGTGCAAAGTGCTGCCATTTGGACTGACGAACAGTCCCGCAACCTATCAGCAGTATATGAATGACGTCCTGATGCAATACTTAGACAAATTCTGTACCGCATACTTAGACGACATCCTAATCTATTCAGAGGACCCTACGGAACACATAGACCATGTGCATAAGGTCCTACAGCATCTCCGAGAAGCTGGACTCCAAGCTGATTTGAACAAATGCGAGTTCAACGTCACCAGGACAAAATACTTGGGTTATGTTCTCACTACCTCCGGTGTCGAAGCGGACCCTGACAAAATCGAACCCCTTCGTAACTGGATCCGACCGACCACTGTTACGGGTGTGAAGTCCTACCTAGGATTCTGTGGCTTCTATAGACAATTCATTCGTAATTTTGGCAAAATAGCAAAGCCCCTCACCACCATCACTAGTCCCTCGGAGCCGTTCCGGTGGACAGACGAA